TTTTTTGGTTGCAGCCATCATTGTTGTTTGGCAGGCCCGGGCTGGGGATTCGAACCCGCCACCTTAGGTGTATGTGGCTGGCGTCTTAGCCGCTTGAGCCACAGGCGCCAAGCCTACAGCTCGGGCTTTACCCTAAAACTCAAATCATTATACCCTCAGATTTATCCAAAATTTTAAAAATGCAGAAAAGTGGACAACTGTGTTCCCATGCAAGATAAGGTTGGACCTCTAGAAAACAAAACAAGATGGATCAAAGATCTAAACGCAAAAGCTAAAACTGCTAAATGTACATCTTCCTGACACGGGATTAGGCAATGGTTTCTTAGATATGACAGTTAAAACAAGCAACCAAAGAAAAACACAGATAAACTGGACTTGATAAAACTTAAAACTTTTATGCTCTAAAAGACACCAGCACCAAGACAAGGTTACAGGAGGAGAATCGTGTGCCTGACAAGGGTTTGGTGCTAGAGTCTGAAGAGCTCTTACTTAACAGCAGAAGGACAAATTACCCAAATTAAAAAACAGGCAAGGTACCCAGGCATGCTGGGGTGTGGGGGTCCCCAGGTACATGGGAGGCTAAGGCAGGAGGATTACTTGAGCCCAGGAGTTTGAGGATGCGTTGAGCTGTAATCACACCACCATACTCCAGAGTGGTTGACAGGGTTAATTAAGACCCTGTCTCAAAAAAAATAGGCAAAGGATCTGAAAAATATTTCTCCAGAGAAAATAAGTAACATCTAACAAAAACATGAAGAGATATTCAATATCATTAGTCACTAGGGAATTGCAAATCAAAACTACAAGACATCACTTCACAGCTGCTAGGATGGCTACATTCAAGCAGGGGCTCACGGAAGTAACCCTAGCACGCTGGGAGGCTAACACAGGAAGACTGCTTGAGTTCAGGAGTTTGAGACCTGTCTGAGCAAGATCAAGATCCCCATCGCACCTAAAAATTAAAAAAAAAAAATTAAGTGGATACCATGCCTCACACTGATAGTCACAGCTACTCTGAAGGAGGCAGGAGGATCGCCTGAGCCCAAGAGTTTGAGGATGCCATGAGCCGTGACGCCATGGCCCTCTACCCAGAGAGACAGAGTGAGACTCCATCTCAAAAAAAGAAAAACAAGGCTCGGCGCCTGTGGCTCAAGTGGCTAAGGCGCCAGCCACATACAATACACCTAAAGTGGCAGGTTCGAATCCAGCCCAGCCTGCCAAAAACAACAATGACGGCTGCAACCAAAAAAATAGCCAGGTGTTGTGGCGGGTGCCTGTGGCCCCAGCTACTTGGGAGGCTGAGGCAGGAGACTCGCTTGAGCCCAGGAATTTGAGGTTGTTGTGAGCTGTGATGCCCAGCACTCTACCCAGAGGGGACAGCTTGAGGCTCTGTGTCAAAAAAAAGAAAAACAAGAAGGAAAAAACAGACAATAAGAAGTGTTGAGGAAGATGTGTAGGAACTGAAACCCTCCTAAGCTGCCAGTGGTAATGTGAAATGGCAGAGATCCCTTCGTCCACTGAAACTTACACACAGGTGTTCACAGCCGCTCGCTGGTAACAGCCAGAAGTGGACACAACGCAGCACCCGCCAACTGACGGGAGAGCAGCACGTCACGGCCACACGAGGAGCATTACCAAGCCACACCACACGGCCCGCAAAGTATATGCCCAGGAAGCCGACACTGGGCGATTCCTTTATACAGAACTCTCTGAACAAGCAGGTTTACACCGACAGAAAGCAGATCAGGGCCAAGGGCATATGGGGGGAGTGCTAATGGATCACGGGCTACTGCGTGGGGTGATGAAAATGCTCGAGAATTAGGTTAGTTTGGTGGCTGCACAACTTTGTGAATACATGAAAAACCCCTGAATTGTACACTTTAAAGAGGTAAAGTCTGTGGTATGGAAATTAGATCTGCACAATTCTTAAAAAGTCACCAGGGTCAATCAAAGTGGATGGAACTGGAGACACAGGGCTAAGTGAGAACAGCCAGAGACAGAGAGAGAAACACCCCATCCGATACTCTTTATGTAGAAGCTAAAAAAAGTTCATTTCATACAAATAAACACTAGAGCCAGGAAAGGGACGGGGCGAGAAGACAGGCGGGATCTGTCACAGGATGCAGAATTATAGCTACCCGTAAACAGGAGGGTAAGTTCTGCGCTCACTACTGTCGGACAGCCACAGTAATGATGCAGCTTCAAAGCGCTCAGGGGACTCAGATGTTCTCAACATCAATGCTGAATGTCTCAGATGAAGGATGTGCTGAGCTCCCTGATCTGATCACCATACGTTACGTGTGTTAAAATTTTATGTGCCCCATGAACACAGACAATTACCATTTGTCAAAAGAATAAAATTAAAACTTTTTTTTTTAAAAAAGAAGTACTATAAACTAAAAAGGTTGCTGGACTTAATCTGAGAAATAAAACAAGTGTAATTATGGTGTCATGTGGCACCAAAGTTTGTTTACCACATTTAAATCTGGAGAAAACTGAATTTTAAAAATCTCAAAATTAGGGTTGAGTGTGGTGTCTCACACCTGCATTCCCAACATTTTGAGAGGTCAAGGTGAGATGGCGGCTTGAGGGCAAGGATTCCAGACCAGCCTCAGCAGGAGTGAAAACCTGTCACTATGAAAAAGAAAAAAATTTAAATACTAGCTGGGCTTGGTGTGCACACCTGTAATCCCAGCTACTCGGGAGGCTGAGGCAGGAAGATCACTTGAGCTCAGGAGTTGGAGGCTGCAGTGAGCCGTGATCATGCCATTGTACTCCAGAGAGAAAGAGACTCTATCTCTGAAAATAAAACATCTCAAAATTAAAGCATAGAACCCCTCCACCCCCACCTTCAATTCTCTTTAAAAGGTTAAATAACTGGAAAGCTCTCAGACTGTTCCAGGGCAGTTAAAATAACTGCCACCATCACCCGCCAAATGCCCCCACCCCACCTGAGCCAGCCGAGCTGACACACAGCGGCCAGCACAGGCAGCATTTACGAGACGCAACGCGTCTGAGCCACAGTATTGTAAGAAGCGTAGTCAGCAGGCAGCTTTCTTCCTGTTAGAAGACCAGCTGGTTTCTACACGCCTGCCACCTGCCTGACTCCCAGAGCTTCCAATCCTTGGTTTACTCCATGACTGAGTTTCCCTGAGGTCCACTCCTAACTTACACTTCTCCGTGTCAGTTCAATACTTTCTTAGTTCGCAGCAAATTAGAGAGAGCAACTGAAGAGCTCTGACAGCAAGGGAAAGGCAGGAAGGAAAGGGAGCACCAGCCAAGAGGCACCTGCAGGGTGAGGGAGGGGCCCCGCGGCCAGCGCCACCCTGAAAAAGGGCGCAGCTGAGGCCACAGGCTGCACACAGCAGCCCTCTGCCAGGGAAAGCTTCAGTTATCTGGGAATTAGCGTAAATAAAAATCTTCTTTGGAAATGCTAAATACATGTGTTTATTACATATTTAACTTTCAAAAGATGATTTCTGGATACTTACCTAAATGGCCACATAATTCTCTGCTTGTTTTTAAATCCATTTTCTCCTGCTCCTCAAGTGAGACATCTGGATAAGATGCTGTTTTCTGATGCTTACTGCTACCATGAGGCTTCTCTGCCTGTCTGGACATGGACTTACTTGCCTCTGCTTTGGTGATCTCTTTAGACTGGGACACAGCAGAAGTAAGTGACACATTAGGGGCGACTACTTTGTCACACATGTATAAGTAGTAACTGAAAACAAAGAATAAGAGGTTATGTTATGAGCTATATTGAGATAAAAGTCAAAATATGCAACATACTTCTCTCATTAAATTTTTTTTTAACTAAACAAACATTACAACTCAGAAAATATGGGTAATAGAAAAGAATTCCTGGGAGGGTGGAAATCAGCACTTCAGGCATTAAATATGAAATTATGAGAGATTTTTTTTTGCAAGTTAATTTCTAAGCACAAAAAGATACTCACTAGGAAAGAAAATCATAGTCTTTTTCCCTCCCTCAAAACCACCTGAGGACATTTCACAGAGCTGTTAGCCCAAACTTACTCCCAACGCCCCTCCCAAGCAGGGTCCCACTCACAACAGGCCTAGCCAGGGGCTCCCCAGCTCCTCTCCACACTTACTTGCTTGGTAAGAAAGCACTAGTAAGCATACAAAATTAAGACTGAAGAGATAACTATCAATTTTGCTCCAAACGCATATAAAATTGCTCAGCAGATTATCTGAGAGGATCACAAAACAAATCTGAGCTAGATATGAAGTACTGTATTGATGACTAACTGACACCCCTACGCTCCAGATAATTTCTTACATCTCAGTTTCTCTGTATAAAACATCTATACTGCTTCCCTTTGTCAATCACATAAATTCTTGGGTCAAAAACTCAGTTTCCTCATAAGAAAAGTGACAGGTTTAAGAGTGCCCAAAAGTGGCTTTGCGCCTATAGCTCAACCGGCTAAGGCGCCAGCCACATACACCTAAGGTGGCGGGTTCGAATCCCCAGCCCGGACCCACCAAACAACAATGACGGCTGCAAACCAAAAAATAGCCGGGCGTTGTGGCGGGCACCTGTGGTCCCAGCTACTTGGGAGGCGGAGGCAGGAGACTCGCTTGAGCCCAGGAGTTGGAGGTTGCTGTGAGCGTGATGCCATGGCACTCTACCCAGGGGGACAGCTTGAGGCTCTGTCTCAAAAAAAAAAAAAAAAAAAGAGTGCCCAAAAGATATACTTCAAACACAGCAGGTCGGGTGGCAACCACTCCAACAAGACCAGTTAAGACTCTGTCTCCAAAAAAAAAAAATGGCTCAGCACCTGCAGCTCAAGCAACTAAGGTGGCCAGCCGCATACACCAGAGCTGACGGGTTTGAACCCAGCCCGGGCCTGCCAAACAATGACAACTACAACCAAAAAATACCTGGGCGTTGTGGCAGGCACCTGTAGTCCCAGCTACTTGGGAGGCTAAAGCAAAAGAATCACTTAGGTTCAAGAGTTTGAGGTTGCTGTGAGCTGTGATGCCACAGCGCTCTATCCAGGGTGACAGCTTGAGGCTCTGTCTCAAAAAAGAGACTCGATCTCATCGCTGTGCTCACAGATTCACAGCAGTAGACAAAATCTAGGAGTCAACAAATACAAAGCTTGTATCTACGATCTACTTTTGGGAAAGGCATTTTTTGTTGTTGGTGGGTTGGTTGTTCTTTTTTCAGTCTCACTCTGTCGCCCTGGGGTTAAGTGCCCTGGCGTCACAGCTCACAGCAACATCAAACTCACCGGCTCAAGTGATTCTCATGCCTCAGCCCTCTGAGTAGCTGGAACCACAAGTGCCCATCACAACACCTGGCCATGTACAATCTACTTTTATTGAAAATTTGAAACCTTGATTTTAAGAACATGTGGTTATTACAAAAGCTAATTTCAAAGGATTTCTTTTTACAAAGGTGCTAAAAACTTGGTTTACTTCCTGAAGGAAATTAAAGGAGAATTTGCATTTTTTTACTTCAGGACAAAAGGAAAAGGATCTATTTCTAGAAAAAAAACAGAAACACCATGTAAGATTATCTTAAATATTTCACACAATTTACCATTCATTTCGCTTTAGATTCTTTCTTTGAATTTTGTTCTAATAAAAATTACTAAACAATAGAATTCTCCCATAATTTGTCTGTAATGATAAACAGAAACAAAAGATATTAAGCCCTGATGTACTTTAAAAAAATGTTGAGGCTCAGTGCCCATAGCTCAGTGGTTAGGGCGCTAATCACATGCACAGAGGCTAGTGTGTTCAAATCTGGCCCGGGCCTGCTAAACAACGACAACCGCAACAAAAATAGCCAGGTATTGTAGCAGTTTCCTGTAGTCCCAGCTAATTAGGAGGCTGAGGCAAGAGAATCACTTAAGCCCAGGAGTTTGAGATTGCTGTGAGCTGTGACAGCACAGCACTCTACCCAGGCAACATACTGAGACTCTTGTCTAAAAAAAACAATTCTGAATTTTCCAAGATAATCTATGATTACCAAGAAAACCTGAAACAACACACTAATCCCCAGGTCCTGGAATGGTGTGTGGTGCACAGCTGCTGAGTGAATGAACGCAGGAAGGAACAAACGATGGGAACCACTCACCTGGGGTGTAAAAATGAGTGTGTCTGAGGAACGTGGTCACCTTCCTGCTTTATCACAGGGCACCATGACTGCACCTCCATCCCAGGTGGTGTGTCCGTCTGCAGAAACACAGGGAAGAAAGAATGTTCACTATGGGGAAAACGGATGGTTAACTTTACGTGTCGACTCAGCTGGCCCATTTGATAAAGAGCTCCAGTGTTCGAGATCACTATGGACTAAGGCAGTGTTTCCTTAAAGAGTCACGTCAGGTGCTTGAGACTCTCAGAGACATCCAGGTGAGCCGTCCCTCAAGGTGCAGTTGCTGCTGCTTTTAGACAGAGTCTTGCTCTGTCGCCCAGGCTGGAGTGTAGCAGTGTCACCACACCACAGCTGACAGCAATCTCCAACTCCTAGGCTCAAGAGATCTCCCACTCCAGCCTCCCAGAGTGATGGGACTAGAGACGCCCAGCTAACTTTTCTACTTTTACTGGAGATGGGGTCTTGCTCTTGCTCAGGTTGGTCTTGAACTCATGGTCTCATGAGATCCTCCCAGAGTGCTAGGACCACAGGCATGAGCCACCGTGCCCAGACCAGCAAAGTGTCAACATGGATTACCAGGAACGATTTTATCAGATTTCACACTTGTGGAATCTACTCCAGGTACAGCTCTCCTGCAGCCACTCAAGATGCCAAAAGGTGAATGAGCCAAAGACAGAAGGTGGCCTCAGTCTCTGCCATCATGAAGAAGCAAGAGACCGAGGTGGTGCATCTCCTGTTTGAAGAAAGGCCAAAGAACTCTAGCACTGGACAGGACATCCATCCCTCCCCAAGAGGGACTTTACCTGCTTTAATGGAGGCAGCAAGAGCTATCCTTCTCCAGCACAGAGAGTGCCTTTGCCAGTTCACCCAGGTAGGCTGCCCACAGCACCCACACTGCCCACGCCACCCAATCTTCAAGTGAGGATACAGAGCAAAAGAAGGGGCAGCAACCGCTGGCCACAGCTGAGAAGAGCAAGCCTGGCCAAGGGGTGTCCCCGCTAAGAGACCACCTGTCCTGTGAGCAGAGCTAACACTATCACCATCCAGTTGAGAACAGGAAGGCTCAGCAGGTGGTGACTGCACATGGAGCAGTCCCCTCCAGCTGGCTGTCCTCCCACCCTGCAGCAGAAGCTGGGGGTCCCCTCCTGCTCATCAAGGGGCCGGCTGGGTAGGGCGTCTCACCACTGCCACCTTCATGCAGGTCCACCAGCAAGGAACAGGAGCTCTGCCTGAGCTGGTGAAGCTACCAGGACCAGTTACAATGGCAAATGTGATGAGCCTGCAGTCACTGCTGAGGAAACATCCTGCATGCCAGCTCTGTGGCTCACCTCACCACGCCAAAGCTCAAGAACCTGCCACTTACCTGGTCCAATGTATAATTCTGAGTTTTTTCCACATACAAATAAAAGTTCTCCTTCAAAAAAAATCCCCAAATTACGGGCGGCACCTGTGGCTCAGTGAGTAGGGTGCCAGCCCCATATACCGAGAGTGGTGGGTCCAAATCTGGCCCTGGCCAAAACTGCAACAACAACAACAACAAAAAAATACCCAAAATGTAAAAAGTAAATAAAAGCACTTCGCAAATGTGCAGCGTGGGTCTTGCTGTCACAGCCAGGGCCCTCGCATGTCTGCTAGCATGCTGACCAAACCACGTGCTACAGCTGAACTCAAAACCACTCTCTTAACACAAACATTTTCCAGGTCAGGTGCAGTGGCTCATGCCTGTAATCCCAGTACTTGGGAAGCCGAGGCAAATGGATTGCCTGAGCTCACAGGTTCAAGACCAGCCTGAGCAAGAAAAAATAGCCAGGCATCATGGCGGGCGCCTGTAGTCCCAGCTACTTGGGAGGCTGAGGCAAGAGAATTACTTGAGCTCACGAGTCTGAGGTTGTCAGCTGTGATGCCACAGCACTCTAGCAGGAGCAACCTGTGGCTGCTGACTTCTCCCTTATTTTGGTTTGCTGTATGCTTCATTCCCCACGTATTTCATATTACAGTAATTACCCTGCTTTGGGGGCAAAACACCAAAGAAAGGGGGCAAGACTCACTTGTGGAAAAGGAGAGGGACATGAGGGGTGTTGTGGCTAGGAGGCTGGGGGGCTGAGGAGGAGGTGGTGGACAGGACCAGCAGTGGGAGCACGGGATTAAGAAGGAGTTAGGGAAGAATAAGGCAAAAAGGAGAACAGGACATACAGAGCATCCCGCGCTGCGAGGCTCCAATCCCTCCCACAACTCAGCAGGGTGGGTATACAGGGAGTGACAGCTTCACCTGCTAGTGAACCTCACAGGAGCCGTAGCTGAAGGGGAGGAAGGAGCCACGCTGTTCAGACAGCCCCAGTGCAGGGCGGGGCCCCTTCACACTGTTCACCGACAGCCCCAGTGCAGGGCGGGGCCCCCTCACACTGTCCACCTGCAGCCCCAGTGCAGGGCGGGGCCCCC